GGCTCAGGGCAGCGGTGGCTGTTGCCATCATCAAGCTGAAATGAAGTAGTGTAGAAAAAGCCTGGCAAGCCCTTAGCTCTTGTCTTGCTCACCCAGAACAGGGCTGTGCCCTTCCACGAGCAATGGCAGCGCTTTGCTTAGTGTATGACGATACACAGCTCTCTGCAAAGGGGCTGGTTTTGTGCCCCTCCTGCTGGCTTGTCGATGGCCCCCATAAACCCAAGTACTGGGGTACACGGACATCAAGAGGAGCCATTAACCTCACGGTTTTGGTCTCCGAGCAGAGAAGGAGGTGTTCTATGTCTGATACAACGAAGGATGGGGGCTGAGGTGTAACATTTGGGCCTGTATGTGTTTGGCTCCAGAGATGACCCGGTGTGATCTCGGATGGAGCCTGTCAGCAGGCGTGTGGTTCACGAGTCAGTGGGTGTTGCAGTCATAGTGTCTTGGCTAATGATTTTAGCTGCAGCCCGGAGAGCAGGACCTGTGCATCTGCCAGTGTCTTGGAAGAGCAGGTTTGGAAAGGTGGCTCCATGGGGTTTCCTCTCCACATGCCATTGTTCAGGTTGCTGACTGAAAGGACCCCCTTCCGACAGCTGGGGATTGCTGTTTGACCTCTGAAAAGGAAGTTTGATGCGGGATAAGTCTCTGGATTGCTGTGCTGTGTGTAAGCAAAGCCTGTGAGTTTCTGCTCTGATGAGTCCTGGTGGGAAAACATTGTCCAGCTGTGTTTCTGGTCTCGCATCTCACACTGGGCTCTATTAAAACTCCACATAACTTTTCCTTCTGCTTCTCCCTGTCATTTCTGGAAGGCACCTTGGCAGATTTTGCTGCAGCTACAAATAGCGGGAAGGTAGCACCACATTCCTCAAGGGGCTCATTAAACTTCTGACAGCAGTAATGTAATGAGTTCTGCATTCTGCCGCTCCCTGTAGAGTTTTAAGCAGTGCAGCTAATTAGGGAGCTCTCAGATGTGTTTCAGTCAATACAAACAACATCATTTTCGATTGTCATTTGTTTTAATTATGCCCGACCAGAAGAATGGAAATGTCGACACTTTGAAAGCAGTGACTCTGGCTTATATCCTGACAGGAATCAGGCAGAGAGAGGAGAAGGGTCTTTGAGATCAAGCAATGAGTGGCTGGAGTCCAGTTTGCTTCATGTGCCGGCAATAAGACAGTTCTTACTCTAGTCTGTTCTCTCATCACTGCTACCCACAGCAGTGTCAAAGGCTTTATGGGCGAAGCTTTTGCCTTCTCTAGTTAGTACTGTTTTTACCTGTTGTACTCACAATGCATGGAAACAAGAGGCCTAGTGATCACCATTGGAAAAGAATTTCAGGGCCTTTTTTTGATGAAAGAAATAAAAAATCTCAATTTAAAAAAAGTCCTGTCTCTCACTGTGGTCCCCCTGAACTCCACTTTCTTTAGGACATGAACCTTGGAAAGAGCTGTCTCAATGGAGAGATGGACAGGCGAGAAATGTTGAGACATGGTGGAAGGACCCTCCAGCTGATGTTCTCAGCAGGTTACATGCCAGGCACAGGCACAGGCACGGCTGAGGCACAGCTGGAGCTGGTTGTCACGTGGGGACCTGATCATCCCATCTGTTTTGTACCCATCCAGTTGGCCACTCAGAGCACAATGTCCTGACCTAGAGAAAAGAGACAATGACAGAAGTCTTGCTAGAGTCAATGTAAATGACAGCCACTGCTCCCCTCATCCGTAAAGCCATACTTAGAGAAGACAATCACATTAGTCAGGCCTGGTTTACCCTTGGTAAGTGCACGTTTGCTGTTCCAATCCCCTTCCTCTCCTTCATATGCCCTAACGTGCATTTCCAGAAGACTTGCACCATGAATTTTCCAGACTTCTTAGAAAATGTGTTCTGTTTGTTGGCTTTCACTTTCACCTTTTCAGTCCTCGGAGCCTACCAGCATAACATCTAATTCAGGTTAGTCTGCTTCCTGGAACCCTTTTAACCACACCATTTCTGTTTTACCAAGAGATAAAGCAGAAAGCTGCAAACCACTTTGCTTGCTGCGATGTGTGAGATTGTGATATCGCATGAGCACAGACCCAAACCGGGGAGATGTTTCAGATAACACCAGCCCACAGCACTGAATGATAAGGGTCCTTCTCATATGCCTTTGTCCTTGGCTTTGGGCTTTGTCCAGGAAGCAGGAGACACTGTCTTTAAACTGCCTCTGACCTGCAGTTTCTTTCACATGGCTTTGCCTTTTATTTTGGCCCCTTCCAGGCCCAGGAACTTTAGCACCAGCAGTGTGAAGGGGCTTCTAACAGGATGCTAGGAAACACATTTTGGGACTGTAGAAAAGATATTTTGGGATGGATAAAGGAAGGGTCAAAGGTAAGGAAATGGAAGGAGCAGGGTGACCTGAAGAGAAACGTGTGCGGGACTTCATTTCCTGGTGAAAAACTGCAAAACATGAGAAAACCAGCCACAGAATGAAATTAGAAATACCTGTCTTAAGGTAAAGCCTAACCTTGTCAACTGGGCGTGGGTCTTTCCAAGGAAGCGATTTGCTTTGCCAGTGTCTCTTTACCCTCTTCTGCCTGCAGCATAGTGTGCTTTAACCATTGAAACCCTACAGGAAAACTTGACAGCTCAGAAGTGGAAGATTGGTTAAAGGATGGTTAAAGGTTAAAGTTTTGTCTAAGTGCCAGCAACTAGAGTCACCAGGCCCCATGTGGGCAGGAATGGAGAGGCCAGCAGCCTGTATGAGTAGGGTAAGAGACTTGCAAAACATGTATTGAAGTGGTCATTATGTTTGGCTGGGTATCAGACATATTCCAGGGTCCAACAGCAGGACCAAGCCAAACCCTGCAGAGACTAGAAGGTCTGGACATCACCTGAGAGAGCCATTTGCTTGTGTGTGGCTGGAGGGGGGGGCGGCAAGTGGAGATGGAAGTATCCAAGGGTATCCTGCACAGGCTGGGTGTCTAAGGCTGGTTTCTGGGTGCATCCATCACACGTATGTGTCTGTAGATGTGTTGTTGTGTCCAAGTGGGTCTGTGTGCCAGCAGCTGGAGCAGGGCTGGGGCCTCAGGGGCTTGCCTGCACCAATGTCAACAACTAGGAGGGCGGTAGGTTGGCGTGGGTGAAAGGGCTGTAGCAGCAGTGCGTGTCTCCCGGGGCATGGTTTGGGGGTTCGTTTGTCAGGATTTTAGTTTGAATTTAATTTTTTTCTGTCACCCCTTCTTCATGAATTTTTTCTGCTTTATCCCACTTAGACTTTTTGGAGAAAGCTTCCGTCAAGAATGGAGCGTTTCTTTGGAAGATCCCCAGTGAAATGATAAAGAAAAGAAAATGGTTTAGAAATGCATCTTTGCTAGAGTCAAAGGAAGGAATGACATTCAGATGTGCTCAAATCTGTGATAATATCATCTGAGACAGGAATTTTGATTGCTTGTACACATTTTCTTCATTTTTTTGGACAGTATCCAACAGTAAGTCTTGGCTTGCACAAGCATCTCAACATAGCTTTTCTCATCAGATTAAAATGACATGGTTCCTTGAATTATACCAGTCCCTTTGTTGATTACAATTAAAGGCAGAATCTGTTCAGAACATTGAGGGATTTTCCTAGTTTTCAACCAGTTCTGCACAAATTAGTCACAGTTATGCAGTTTGCAATTTACCTTGGGGCATGGAATTGAGTGGGAAAGCGTCCCTCAATTATAACTTGAGATGCTGTTATGTCACAAATTACTCAAGATGGAACAGAATAGATAAATAGAGATGCAAGAAGTGCTTTCTACTACCCAGTCTGTTACACTGTATTCTTGACAGTCATTACTTTCCCCTTAGGGCAGAAGGAAAACTTGCCCACCTTTCATAGAAGTCCCCTCTAAGATGACATTACTGCAGTGTTTCTTTTCTGGGCCTGGTTCTTTCACCTTCTTTTCCCAGTGGAACTTCGCAGATGCTTCTGCAGATTCTTCTTTGAGGTCCTTGAGCAAAAGCAGTCCCGTGAGTGAGTTTGCCTTTTCCTGAGACAGGAATAACCCAGACCATTTCCCCTAACATATTTATAGAATCATAGAATGGTTTGGGTTGAAAGGGGCATTAAAGCTCATCCAGTTCCATGTGATGTGATGCTCTTTGATGATGTGTACTGAAATGAAGTTTTAGAGAAGGACTGTGTAGTGCTGGTTGATGAGAAGCTCAACATGACCCAGCAATGTATGCTTGAGCCCAGAAAGCCAACCGTGTGCTGAACTGCAGCAAAAGTAGGGTGAGCAGCGGGTCAAGGGAGGGGATTCTCCCCCTGTAGTCTGCTCTGGTGAGACCCCCTCTGCAGTCCTGTGTCCAGCTCTGGGGCCTCCAACACAAGAGGGACGTGGAGCTGCTGGAGTGAGGCCAGAGGAGGCCCTGGAGCTGCTGCGAGGGCTGGAGCAGCTCTGCTCTGGAGCCAGGCTGAGAGAGCTGGGCTGGGGCAGCTGGAGAAGAGAAGGCTCCTGAAGGGGACACCTTAGAGCAGCTCCAGTGCCTAAAGGGGCTACAGGAAACCTGGAGAGGGGCTTTGGACAAGGGATGTAGGGACAGGACAAGCGGAATGGCTTTAACCTGCCAGAGGGGAGATTGAGATGAGCTCTGAGGCAGAAGCTCTTCCCTGTGAGGGTGCTGAGGCACTGGCACAGGGTGCCCAGAGAAGCTGTGGCTGCCTCATCCCTGGAATGTCCAACTTGGCGTTGGACAGGCTTTGCCCCAGGCTTTGAGAAGGGGCTTTAAGGTCCCTGCTAACCCAAACCATTCTGTGGTTTTATGATGATGATTCTGTGATGTTAGAACACATTAATTAGTCCAAGAAAAGGAATTGCCACAAGAGCCCAGCAGCCGAGGTGCTTTCTTACTTGACTCTCCCAGGATGTTGGAAACTTTGTCTCCCTTTCAGTAAAAGAGACAACTTTAGGTTCAGATGAGAAGTTTTCCAAGGTCAGTTTTACATAATAATTGACAAGAGCTTGTTCATGCCTTATGAAAAACACTGTATTTGTTCACCGCTGTTCTCAGAGCCTTCTTTATGTTGTTATTTCTCAAGCTGTAGATGACGGGGTTGAGCAGTGGAGTCAGAACTGTGTAGCAGATAGAGAACACTTTGTGGAGATCTCTCAGTGTGTTTGACTTTGGTACCAAGTACACAATAATCAAGGTCCCATAGAACAGTGTCACCACAGTGAGGTGGGAAGAACAAGTAGAGAAAGCCTTTTGCCTTCCTGTGGAGGATGGGATCCTGAGGACAGTGTTGCTGATATACACATAAGATATGAGTGTCAAGAGAAACGGGGGTAGTGTCAAAAGGGAGGCCAAGGTGAACGTTACAAGCTCAATCCAGTGGGTATTGCTGCAGGAGAGCTTTACCACTGGGGTGAAGTCACAGAAGAAATGATCGATTTCATTTGAGCCACAGAAAGTTAGCTGTGGCATCAGAGAGGTGACTGTGGCACTAGCCAACAACCCACTAACCCAAGAGCTACCTGCTAACTGGAGGCAGCACCGGTCATTCATTATCGTGGTATAATGTAATGGTTTGCATATTGCGAGGTACCGGTCGTAAGACATGACAGTCAGGAGACAGCATTCTGCACCTGCTAGCCCAGTGAAGAAAAAGTACTGCAAAAAGCAACCATGAACTGAAATAACATATTTGTTAGTGAGGAAATTCGCCAGCATTCTGGGCAGGATGGTGGAAGTGTAACAGGTCTCCAAGAATGACAGATTCCCCAGGAAAAAGAACATGGGATTATGAAGGTTATGATCAGTCACAACCAGCACCATGATCAGGAGGTTCCCTAACACAGTTGTAATGTAGATCACTAGAAACATCAAGAAGAGGATAAACCGTACTTCTGGGGTACTTTGGAAACCTAGGATGATGAATTCCACAACGGCTGTTTTGTTCCCCTGCTCTGCTCTTCTCATGACTGTAACAGTTACAGTAAAGTCTTTAACAGAAAAACTTAAATCTTCTTTTAAACTATTATTCAGATGTCAAAAAGAAAAGAAAAGAAAGTTGCTTTGCAGCCTTCGTGTGAGGTAAGAATGACCTGTGCTTGGAACTGCACACTCTCAGTGAATGCCAGGGGCCTGACTTTCTTTGGAGATTTGGAAAAGCCAATTTGCACTGGTTATTCAGAGAACAGAAATTCTTCACTCACAGGTATTTGTTTTGAATTTCAACCAAAGATTTCATTATGTGTAGTGGAAATGTTTAATTTTCTTGTGCTTTTCAGTTCCATCTCTTGAGATAATAATTTTCCTGTAAGAGCCAAGTATTGATTTACTGCAGCTTATCATAACTTCCTGAGCATCAAGCAACCATGTTCGAAGGCCTAGTACCTTTAGAGGTGGTAAAGTTATTTCCCCTGTTACCAGCTTGAAAAGATAAAGGTATTTAATGTTCAGCTTTTACTGTATTTTCTGGTATATAATGCTGGTTTTAAAGATGTTCAGTGGGCACAATCAAGTCCTGCTTATTGTCTGCTTTTGTCTGAACCAAAATGCCTCCCATGTTCAAAGATCCTCAGAGAGATCAGCTCTGGATAAGAAAAGAAAAGAATATCAATTCTATTACATAAGCTACAATGATTTTTATTTTCAAAAAACTTTTTTTTGCCAATATTTTATTAGCATCAAAATAATGATTCCTTTTTTTTTTTTTAAATACTTATTTGTAAAAGAAGAAGGAAAAGGCTTTTCAGTTAATTGAAAATAGTTCCTAATATCTCTGTATCCTTTTTTCCTTCCTTATAAGTTGTGTGAGAGAAGGGGAGGAACTAAAACGACATACTTTTTTCTCTGCATGAGGCAGTTGAAAACGGAAGATGTTTTTGTTTTAAACCAGGATGTTTTCATAAGGAAGGAAACTAAACAAAGGCAAAGTGATGCAGGAAAGTGTTGTAAATGCAGAAATGTAAAATGGCATTTCCCACTCCCATCTATTTCCCAAGAAAAATCTAACACAGCTTTTCTTCTTTAATTTTCGGTCTTGAAACGACTTACCGTGTTCATTCCATTTCTTGGTGGCTCAGTGTAGGTCATGCAGAACATCACCAGACTTTCACTGTGTCATACTCAAAGACTGTTATGAAATCTTATGAGTTTCCTTCTTCATCTTTTATACAGTCCCTGTTCTTGCATTTCTACCTTCTCAGTAAATAAGCCTCACTACGCCTGGAAAGCTCTAGATTGACTCATGATTCATGTAATTTCTCTCTTGGGGAAAAAAGCGCAAAACTTGGCATCTCCCTTCATCATCTGTGGAATAACTCCCTTAGCACTTTTCCTAGAGGCATTTAAAACTGTGGTTGTGGGAGGATCTTAAGAGTAATGTTTCTTTTCAGACAAAGAGAAAGTTTTAGAAAGTCAAAGAACTGCCTTAAGAGGAGAATATTAAAGAGACAAAACACATCTAACTTCATTTTTTTGCTACTTGTTTGCGACTCTAGAATGGTGAGCATTTCATCCAGGTCCTGTGTCTTATCTATCAAACCTGTTCAATTGTCCCAGATGTCATAAGCACAGAATAGCTAGGGTTGGAAATAATGTGTCTAAGCTGGCAATAGCTGCTGTACCTATTTAGATCCTATTTATAGGCAACAGAGTGACAGACAGTACAGGACACAGTGTCTCGACTGGCTGAACAGGCATACAGATGGCAGGGGGTTGGAAGCAGATGATCTTTAAGGTCCCTTCCAACTGAAACCATTCTATGATTCTATGAAATATATCCTGTAGGCACAGAAAGTAGGTATCTTAGCGTGTGATTCACCTCCATAGAAAATGCCTCGTGTTACCTGTTTTCTATAGATACCTATGCCAGTACATGAAGCTCTAAGTACTCTCCTTCAGGCTTCTTGAGGAGTGGTTCAAGTCACTGTGTTTGGCATAATCTGTTTTTGGAGGAGCAGAGCAACTCCACACAAGTCCACATGCAACGCAGATAAAAAGAGGACGAGCCTGTTCTCTAGAACCAGGCAGCTATACGCAGCCTTGCTGAATGTGGTGATTCCCTCACTGAAATCCTTCCTGTAAGAACATGAACAGAAGGATTTGACCTCCCATGTGATAAAGCAGGTAAGAAGAGGTGGAGAAGAGAAAAGGAAGAGCAGTAAATGGAAGGCTGTAGGGCTTTTAAAGCCGTAATTTATGTTACTGTATCTTATTCTGGTTTTAAAGAAAGATTTGACTCTACTTTCTTCATCCTCCTCTATTAAGCGCTTGTTGAAAGCAATAAGGTCCTCTTGACACTTTTTTCCTTAGGACTGACAAAATCCAGTGATGGAGCAGCCATAAAGGCAAGCCAATAATAATGGAAAAATACCACACAGAGAAAAGGTTAACTGGTTAGCTATGAGGCCAGGATATCCGTGATATGCTTAGCTCGGAGCCTGAGATAAACACAGAACAAAGAACCACAATAACGAACCAGCCTTCTAAGAAAGTGAAAGGCAACACGTTACAGGAAGTTCCAGTTATTATCTACACCGCTCACAGCCATTTATGTATCTACACCAAAGGTATAAATGTAGTTCTCTATTTAACCAAAGCGATCATCTGTGGGTGAGATCTTCCATAAAGGCAGGACCTGGCTGACTCTGGGCTCTGTGACACGGATCATCTTTGAAGTGAGACCTTTCTGTCATTGATTGGCTCCACTCCTGGGACTTGTTTGGTGAGTGCCATACTGGTAACACCTCAAACAATGTGTGTATTGTATATGTATAGATGTGGAGAGATTGCTGGAGCTGGGCCTGTTTAGTCTGGAGAAGAGCAGACTTAGAGGGGACCTTATTAATGCAAAGGCCAGGAGGATGATGCCAGACTCTTTTCAGTGGTGCCCAGTGACAGGACAAGGAGCAGTGGCCATAAGCTAAACCACAAGAACTTTCATCTCAACATGAGGAGGAACTTCTTTCTGTTGCGGGTGTCAGAGCACTGGAACAGGCTGCCCAGGGGGGTTTTGGAGTTTCCCTTTCTGGAGACGTTCCGAATCCACCTGGGTGCGTTCCTGTGTGACCTGCTCTAGTAACCCTGCCTTGTCAGGGGGTTGAACGGGATGATCTTCAAAGGTCCCTTCCAACCTGAACAATTCTGTGACTCTGTGATTGTCTTACATTGCTGCCATCCCAACAATTGTCTGTGGTCAACAGACTATGGTATATACTGGTTGCCAAAGTATTCCATCTTTGCTGTTAAGGAGGGTCCATACCTACAGTTCAGAAAATGAGTCATGATACCATGAAAAAAATGAATATTGAAGCTTGGCCATACTGAGACTAAACCCATATTGAGCAGCATTAGTGACCTTTTAGATTCTGATAGAGACACTGGGAACTGGGCAGGCACATAATCAGTATTGCACTTATCAGTCAGCACTTCCAGGGAACTAGGATATTGCCATTTACTTTGTATACACACATGCCCATATGACTGCTCTTTATCCGCCTTTTGAGGTTAGGTTGTTAACGGCTGATTGTTAGGCCAAAGAGATAGATGTTCAACCTGTGTCAGGAAGCTCCCTTTCTCCCCTTGGGAAGCAGAATGTTGGAAATTTGAAACAGCTTTTTCAGATATATTGTCAAATCCGACTGAGTCAGGTCAGCAGTTAACAGACAGAGGTTGTGTAGCTGTTCAGGCTAATGGTGGTCTTTGGATATACATAATACTTATAAATTCTTCTGACATCAAACATCTCCTGTTCAGATGTGAGTATTCCATGGAAGTTGCAGCACTATTAACAATATTGACAATGTGGAGCATTAATCGTTAATCCTAGGTGATGATTAGGATGGTGCAATATAACTACTCAGTCCATTTAAGCACTTGGGTTGGGGTTTTTTTATTATTTTACCTTGGAAAAGGGTAGTAGGAAAATACCTTCAGCTCCTTTGGAGTTTGAAAGTTACTCTGAGTTAAGACATTGCTGTGCGTTCCATTTTCACTAGGTCTCCAGGAGGCAAAGACAGACATCTCAATGGCTACCAAGGTATGCTCTTTCTGCTCTGGGTTTCCCCTTTATATCCTAATTGCTCTCCTAATCTACTTCATTTTCCACATTCCAAGACACTTGTGTCATGATTGTTTTATAAAATGGGTGTTCTAAGTACTTCATGCTAATATTACTCTGCAAAATATTTGTAAGGAGTAACTCCATTTCTTTGAGACTTCCTCTCTAGATGATAGCTAAAGAGCATCTTCCAGGACGAGAAGCAGAACAAGGGTAGGATTCATCTCACCTGACTTCAAACATATGTGTTATAGATTTCTACAGATGAGCTAGTCCTGAATGCACCTCTGGGGTGTCAGAAATACGGTTTAGGAGCGGTATCCTAGAAGTGCTTCTTGCTCTCCACTGGTGTTTGAGGATGTTCAGAGGACTGCATATTTCAGGCTGAAGCTGAAGGTTAAGTGAGATGAATGCTGCCAGAGGCATAGACCTGATCTATAACACAAACCTGGAAAAGCTGTGTTTCCTTAGGCTACCTTGAACATGAGATCAAGTTAGACATTTGCTTCTAACTGAAAAATATGCCATTGGCTTGAGCACAACAACAGGTGAATTTCACTGAATTTGATAAATTGTCCAACAAGAAAAGCTATTTCAGATTTGTGTTACCATTGTGAGAAAACACTGGCAGGCACAACAGTGTTTCCTTTAGGAAAGGGACTGGTTTGTTCAGTCAGGAATTTGGGGACTTTTTAATTATGAAGAAGTGAAATATTTGTTCCTCTTCACTTTGTGTGTTCTGTTCATAAATACTGCCTCTTTCATCCTGGATTTTAAGTGAAAGACAGAAATGAGTTCCTTGATCTTCTTTATGCTACTGTTAGGTAGAAAAGAGTGAACGCTGGCTAGTCTGCAGGAATCTGGGTCCTCTGGATGGATCCCATAATAGTGATTTTCTTGAAGTAAGAAATATTCTTACCCTGAATGTGTTTCACTTTGTATGCCAGGATGAAGTCCATCACGTCCGTCAGTCCCCTGGGGTCTCAGAAGGTGAGATAAAAGCCACCCGTAAAAGAAGAGAAAAAGTACTGATGTGTCTGGAAAAACTTGGGATTCATTGTGAGAAGGTAAGCACTGACAGTCCTAGTAAGGAAAGGAGATAACAGTCCAGTGGTGTGAGTGGCACACAGAGTGCCATTTGAAGTGAGGTCTAGTCCCAGGGAAGCATCATCTGTTGTCACAAGTTTTTCAGTGGAGGCTTGCTGCCCACTGCTGGGAAAAAGATTCAGGCTGGAAATTTCCAAGGAGATAAAAGGGAACAGGAGACTGAATTTTCAGTGGAATTCCCAGCTGCAATTCCCATATCTATCAGCTAATTAATTGTTTGAGTTGCCCTTGCATATCTCTATATATGCATCATGACAATCAGGAATGGTGCCTGAGGACTGGAAAAATTTCGCCCCAGCCTTCAAACAGGGCAAAAAGGAGGACCCAGGGAAGTACAGGCCAGTCAGCCTCTACCCCTGGAAAGGTCATGGAACAGCTAATCCTGGAGGCCATCTCTAAGCACCTGGAAGACAAGAAGGTGGGAGGCTGTTCAGCAAGTCAAAACATTGACCTGATATCAACAGCTTTGTAGCCACAAATTGAAAGCACAGCACTATATGAGCTGCTGTGAAGAAAGTTGACTCTGTTCCAGCCATAGCCAGTACAACATGTTCTCGAGAATTTCCTGTGAGCTGGCTCTAATAGTTTTACTTTCATCTTTTGGGAGAAAAAGATATTCTTGGTGACAAAAAGGTAACAGAGGTGGTATCTACAGGAACACAGCGAGTACTGCTCGAAGTGTATGTATATTTTGAAGCTAGAGCACAGAAGCACAGCACAAATCTCTGCAGAATACAAAGGAGAACCCATTCTGTGACTGTGAGATAAAGGAAAAAGAGAAATAGGGGAAAAGAGGCAGATTATGGAATGTGTCTTAGAGCAAGGAAGCATGTCAGGTGAGAACTGCAATTGCATTTACCCTCGTCTGTTTGTTAAGCCTTTGGTCTAAAAGAAATGTGCTTTCTGTCTTCCACTGTCCAGAATAATGTGCCTACTATTGTTGTTCTGGGATCAGGCGGGGGCCTGCGTGCCATGATAGCCCTCCTAGGAACCTTGGTGGAGCTGAAGAAGCAAAATTTCTTGGATGCTGTCACGTATCTGTGTGGGGTGTCGGGATCCACTTGGTAGGTGCCTGTTGTCTGGTGCGATTGTGAATGGTTTTCCTGCTCTATAGATTCAACAGCAATTCAACACTATTGTCACTGTTTATAACTCCCTGTTGGGCTCACAATGGAGTGGTAGGTGAGATATGTGCCTGTGCAGTGGGAGGCACAGGCAATATCTGTAACATTAACTACAGTCCAACAAGACTGACCTTGGATCCCCAGAGAGGATGAAATTAGCACCTCAGTGGCAATTCTGCCATGGATACTGTACCTGCATGCATATTCAGATCAAAAAAGCAAAGCCCCATTTGCTTTCCCCTATGCTAGAAACATGACTTTTCTTTCTCTTTAAAAGGTGTATGTCCCTCCTGTATGGGAATGGGAAGTGGTCAGAAAAACTGATGTCCCTAGAAAAGGAACTGTATGAAAGCCTCAGTAATTCCTCCTGGCATATTGCAAAAGCAGAAGAGTCCTTAGAGGAGTCATCAAATGATGAAAACTACTCACTGACCGACTTCTGGGCTGCCTGTTTTGTATACCAAATACTGCAGCAGGTAAGAAGCTAACTGCAAATGCCTTGGGATTGTTTTGAAGATCTTGGAGTAACTGCAACTAAATTTAACCTTGGTGGGTGTTTTTTTGAGTAGTTGTATATATTGAAGCAATATTTCAGATCATGACCTCTTATCTCTAGATGTGGAAAAGTAGAAGCAGTTAGTCCAACTCCTTGGTTAATCCAAGTCTCCTAAGTGGGGGTGTCCTTAGTGCTATAGCAGAGGGAAAGGGCATTTTATGTTCCTTCAGAAGTCCATGCTTATCTTCCAGTTTGATGAGAACGAGCTGGCTGATCACAAGGAGGCCTCAGAGACTGGAATAAATCCATACCCAATTTATGCAGCAGTGGACAAAGAAAAACTGAGTGAAAAAGGTGGAAATTTTCCAGGTAAAATGTGGGCTTCTAGTCTAACTCTATCTTAAATACCGTGTATTGGGTTCCTTTCACTTAATGGCAGACATTAACTGTGCTCATACCTGATTGCAGATTGTGAGCCTATGTCTTTGTTTATTGATAATGGAGGAAAACATGCTTCTAAGGGCTTCCATGTGATTCAACCACTTCCATGAAGGGGCTGAATCACATCCTGTAAAAGTGGCTTTCATGATAGGATAAGGTGAGCCACCCCTAGAATAGTATGGGATAACAAGAACATATCATAGAGCAACTGGTAACATGCTTACAACTTAGTTTATTCTCTATATACCAGGTCATCTTTGTCAGCTAATGTCAGAGGATTTTAGAAAGGAAAAGAAGAACAACCAAGATGCTGCTTTGGGGCAGTGAGGTCAGCTGTGTTTCCAAATATTGAATGAAAAAGTTGTTCTGTTTTTCTCAGGGACCTGGTTTGAATTCACTCCCCATGAGGCTGGATATACTGCCTTGGGTGCTTTTGTGAGTACCAGATACTTTGGAAGTGAATTTGAGAAGGGGAAGCTGAAGAAAAAGAAGAAGAAACACATTTGTTATATGCAAGGTGGATTTTCCTAATTCTGCTTTGTAGAAAAGAATACAGGTTTAACTATTCTGTATCTCTGCAGGTAACAAGAATGCATCTGTTATTCCATGAATGCATGCATAATAGTATATGAATTCTGGAGAGCAGTTCTTCTTGCTTCACATGTTCAAACTGGAACATCTGAATGCCTCTTTACAGTCCACTGTCCACATTGAGCAGTTTATGTGGTTGTTATGGGAAGTTAGAGACCGATACTGTAGATTACTGAAGTTAAAAAAATAGTTCCAACCCAGAAGCTGAAATGTTCTATCATCCCAACATGTTTGCTTTGCAGGGAGAGAAGCTTCGAAAATTAGAGACCTTCTTGTGTGAGGACCAGAAGCGCGTATTTTGTTTCACTCTGTTTCAGTCTAGGGCCAGGGCTCTTTCATTCCCCGCCCAAGCGGTATAGCTGCAAGTGTCATCTCACTTCTTTGTGACACAACTGAACATAGCTTGTATTTAATGACTTTATGCCCCATTCTCCTCATAACACACCCTTGGCACCATGCTGTAGGGGGGAAGAAAAAAAGAAAAACAATCTAGTTCTTACTATTTAATTCAGTCAGAGGGAAAAACAAATAAGCACAACACATCCATGAAGAGTACTTATGAAGAGTACTTATGCTTCCAGGCTCATGGGTGAGGCAGGCCTATGGAAGTGCTTGACCAGGAGTTCTGCAGTGTGAAAGTACCTGATGGTTTCCATTAAGGAAAAATGTGCTACTAAAAGGCAAACTCAGGTTGAATTCTCAGCAAGGCTATTCTAAAGCAAGCACAGTAAGCAGATTATCTTTTTGTTGTTTCAGGCTTATGGGGGAGTGCTCTTGGAAGCATGGAAGAAAATATCAAGTTCATACGAGGTATTACGTTTATTCTGTTGCTGGTATGCTCAAAGGAGTTGTTGCACCAGTGGGAAAGAAGTCTGGAGTAAGGAAGCCACTTAGGAACATGTAAACAAATTACATTAGGTTAAGGAACATGCAAACAAGTTGGACATACGCAAGTCCATGGGACCTGATGGAACACACCCACAATTGCTGCTGTAGCTGGTTAATGTCATTGCAAGGCCACTCTGAATCATTTTTGAAAGGTCATGGCAATAGGGGGAGGTTTTCTTCACAGGTGCTCTTCATGGATACATTAGGATTCCTGCTTAAAGAGCTGATAAAACTATCCGGAAATGCTTCTCCATTGGGTATAAATCTATTGTAGCATGAGCATGGACCACAGGGGAAAATGTAGATATCGTTCGAAAGGTGGACTGAGCTTCTCCACATTAGATTCCTTATGATGTGGAAGCATCAGAGACGGTATCTTAAACTTAGAGGTAGGACACTATCAAAGCTGCTGGAGGGATAACAGAGATGACCGAGATGCTGTCAGGTATCTGAGACATCAAACACAGAGCTGTGAGCGATGAACAGAACCAGCAGGAAAGTAGTACTCTTCTGGAGTGTCAGCCACAAGGCAAATGGGATCCTCCAAGGCATCTGAAACACACTGTACATCTATGGTTAGGTGCATGGCTAGCTTTCCTGATGCCTTTCATTGGCAGGAAGGGGAAGGGGTATTTTATTGGGAGGGGTATTCTTATTTTAATAATCCTTTTATTTCTTCCAAAGACAGCCTAGGAAGTTTATATCAGTCACGGAGCAGCATCCTCTCCTTTGTATTCGGTTGGTTCTTGTGTTTCTTGCTCTTTATTTTTTGTAACTTTGGGGTTTTTTTTGTTTTTAATTTAGCATTCTTTTCTGCTGTGGGGGTGGTCAGTCACTGGAACAGCCTCCCTAGGGAAGTGGTTACAGCACCAAGCAGTTTGGAATTGAAGAAGCATCTGGATGATGCTCTTAGTCGTATGGTTTAGTTTTAGGTAGTCCTGTTAGGAGCAGGAAGTTAATCTCAATGAACCTTACAAGTCCCTTCTAACTTGAGCTATTCTATGATTCTATGATACTGTGATGCTATGAAATGTTCACATGGAAAATTGAGATGTTAATGACTCTAAAATACAAAATACGTTCCTACAGTATTCTCTTGGTAATACTGGAAGAAATCACACCAGGCTTCACTCACATTGTTATTACATTTCTTACTCCTTTATGTACTTATTTATTTATTTGGTTTTTAAATTCAAATGGGAATGAAGTATTTGAGGCATATTAGATAGTTCCCATTTACTCCAAACTGAATTTCTGCTCCTCCTCCTATTACTTTGTTTCATAGAACTTTTCTTCCAAGGTGAACACAAAGGTCATCTGAATCCTGGTATGGTTACACATCTGTCCAGTTGCAAATGCTCAGTGTTAGGTGTTTTTACTGTCAACAGAGAGAAATACTCACTTTGGCACATGGTTCCTCTCAGTAGCTTAAAAAACTTTTCTAGGATAAGAGAGATGAGGTCAGTGTTTCTAGAGATTCCACTGAATGCAGGGACTGCATCTTCACTAATTCATGTGTCAGTTACATTCTAATCCAATGTTTGGTAAGATAAGTTCCACTCTGATGTAACTTTAATCTTATCTTTCTTAGAGAGAGATTCGGATACCTCCATATCTTATCAGGCTGCTCTTCTTCTGCTAGACCTTCACTTGTGTGCTGTAAGTGGGAGTGATCCTAAGGAAGTCTTTGAGAAATTGATGTGTGTATTGTCAGGCAAGTGAATGAGGCTGAGATTTCCCAGCACCTGCATTTTTGCTCATCTGGTTTTACAAACAGTGATTCCTTTATTGTGCATTTGCATACTTTCCTTTTCTTCTTTTCTCTCATTTTAAGAGGACAAGGAGAAAAGTGCATCCATCAAACTGTGCACTGCAATACGTAATACTTGGGCAATGAAAACAAGGGAGGAAAGAATGGCAAGCTGTGCTGAACTGGGCAAACAGATAGAAAAGGAATTTGGAGGCAAGTATTCTACATTAATGCTTATCATAATGACACCCTCTCCACCCCAAGTACAAACATCTACCTGCATATAAAGTTACCCTGTTGGTTGCCATGAATCTATTTCTTTAATGTGACAGTTTTGTGCTTTTCCTCCACTTGATCTTCCTCAGGGCGTCTTGGAGAAGGACAATTACCACAATCCCAAGCAGTCTTCCTAGGCAAGTTTTGAATATCTTTTATTACTCTTTGGATTGTATGTGCTTTGAAAAATTCCATCTTTGGTGTTTTGTGAACTTAAATTCCAGTTTCTTCTGGAGTGAACCAACTAGTGCTTGGGAGATTAAATCTGAACATTGCAGACAGGTCTTCTGCCTCTCCAATGCCTGTTCCAAGGAGTGTGTCCACAGATAAGGCCTGGATGTTCTCTGCACAGACCAGTCCAAACTTTTTCACTGGGCTGATCTCACGTTCTCTCACAAGATGTCTTGATGCTTTCATGGCTTTCAGCTAGTATACCCCACCTTGTACAGGTTGTTCAATTGGATTGCAGGATGGTTCTTACTTTATTCAGCTGGAAAGAAGATGAAAAGAAATAACAACCCCTCTGAAAAAGAATGCTGTAAAAGGCCCAGAAAAAATCAGGCCTCACTAGTGTATAGCTCTGGTGCAACCAGGGCTGTACATTACCCGTGAACCTCAAACATGGTGAATACGTCAGCTAGTGTAGGGCCTGAGTTCTGTGTAGTTTGTGCCTTGAGTGGCTTATTCAAATCTGTTTCAGCTGTACTAAGATGTGGAGGCATGGTTCTTTCTCTTCTGAAGCACTCAGGCCTTGTCACTCAGGCTGTCTGTACAGCATCTGCACATGTGTTCTTCTACCACCAGTATCTCGTCCAGATTTTGTCACACCAGTCAAAAATTGAAGTTCTCTAGATTTAACTATGTTCTGAATTGTATTGTCTCTTCCCAGGCTCAGTGTGGGGTTTCCTTAGGGTGGTGTATAAGACAGTCCAATGTGTGTTAACCTGGAAATGGGGAACGACTCATAACTTCCTCTACAAATGCCGTAAGCGAATCCAATGAAATAATGATTTGTTTATATTCAGAGAATATAGAGTGATCTATGGGGCAAAATGCATGGGGTTTAGCAGAGCTTTTATGCTATGTTTGTGTGATGTTAAACTGTCTTTGCCATTTGCCTTCTTAGTGATTTAGATAGCTTTGCTGGATCCACCCTCTCGTAACAGCATCCTATTATGGGCAGCAAATAAACTGGTCATAAACAACACACTACTAGATCCAGATCTGTAACATCATTGCAGATATATAAACTCAATTCTGTCACAGAAACACAGGCATCTAATGTCACACAAACCGCCATTTTGTACAGGGACAATAGCATTGAGTTGGAAAACACAATATAAAACCTGTAGGACCCCTGTGCGCTTTCAGAGGAGAACCTGGAGGACACAAGAAGTAAGCTAAGGAGTTGGAACTGGACAGCTAAGTTTATGGAATTGAATTGTGCTCCTGATGCATGAGGAATAACTTTGGTCTCCAGATTCCATTGCCTGGCCTAGCTGGATATTCAATTATGATAATAGAAGCTTTGGCACCTAGTATATAAACAGAAACCTGCATTTAAACAACTGCAGTTAGGTGTTGTGATTTCTAGCTGGCTCATGCATTCATTTTTCTGCTCAACAGTCTTCTTATATTAAAGCTGTGGGTGCGTGGTTCTAGGTTCTGACCTTCAAAAGCCCATTGGGAATTCTGATTTGTAACTGATCACAGTCAGAGAGAGGTAGGTCAGAAGGATGGGGATTCCTCCTGTTGGAATACAGCTGTACATCTGGCTGGGCAGGAGAGGCAAGGAGAGGCAGGTTTCAATACCTTTTTGGGATGCATCATCAGTAAAGACCAATGGACACTTTTGGGCTGATCATGTGTGTGTGTATATATTTTATATATATATGTCTTTATGAAATCTCATTGCTTTCTTTCATTGGATTAGCTAACATTAAGCCCTCTTACCTGGTCGAAAACAAAACCATATCTTTGATTGATGCTGGTCTGGCGATAAATTCTGCCTATCCTCTGGTACTTCAAGCACAGCGACAAGCAGATCTGATCATCTCCTTTGATTTCAGCTCCGGAGATCCTTTTGAGGTACACTCTTTGACAGGCAGTTCTTAATTTTGCTGGAGTGGTGGAGTGTTGAATTTTGTGAGAGTTGTAGAGCAACAGAAGGGGATGCTTTGTAAAATGAAACTTGTTCTGAAAGTTGGTGAACCTGGTGATGTCTTCAGACAATTTTATAGACACCAAATCCCTTTAATCTTACCATATTTCAGTGTCTGCCACATTGCCTTGCTGGGTGTAGCTGTAGTTTCTTAAACAAAGGTTCCTGCTAGAAGTGATCCCAGAAGTGAGTGCCTGATTTTCATTCATATTCTAGACTCAGTCTGTTCCTCAGAGAATGCTTATGGAAAACTTAAACTTTAAAATAAACTATATGTTACAATTATGTATATCCCAAGAAATTAACCATCATCATTCTGTATCAATCGGTTTTATTACTGGAGATAGGACTAACTTATTCTTTGAGTTCAGAAAAAGCAAACTACAAAATGCATACAACTTCTCTGTATCTCAGACTATCAAGAAAACGGCTTCATACTGCTGGGAAAACAATATCCCATTTCCCAAGATAGAGGATCAGAAAATGGATGAGAACAACCCTTCTGATTGCTATATCTTCCGAGGAGACAAGTCATGCCCCACAGTCATGCACTTTCCACTCTTCAACAACGCGAATTGTTCTGGTAAGAGGGTCTATGCAGCATCGTCTCTGTATATTTGCATTTCATATTTTCATACTTCCAGTGCCAAGCATGTCAGAGGAGTCCTTTACTTGGTGCTGCTGCTGCAAGTAAACACAGAAGAGAAGGAGCAGGGCAGGCTCTGTGAAGAAGCTTGCACAGGCATTAATGTACTCACCCTCTGAGATGTATGTTCTGAACTATAAGGATTTTATACCACTCTTGATTTGTTCTGTAAATCATTGTGATTAAATTGTGGTCCTCCTGAAGACGGGTTGGGGGGGCATTACATTTAGAAGCCACAGTATCCAAGTCTGGGATATTTACCACTGCTTCCCTTTGTAATTATTGGTGAGGAACAGTATCCCGCTCCTCTCAGATACCTGATGAAGCAGGTATTGAAAGAGGTACCTCCAGACTCTGACCAATGTCTTCTTCTCTCTTCACTGGCTATGGCAGGATTCTAATATGATAACTTGTATGTGAAATTTGCAGATTTTCAAGGATTAATGCTTTTCTTGAATGATCTTGTAGTTTTCCCTTTGGCATTTACTTACATATTTTGTGGTTACATCCTTTTTTGTAGGTAAAGTGGAAGATTACAGAGAACAGTTTTCCACCTTTCAAATGTCCTTTCCAGGGGAAGCCATCAAAGATCTTCTTAAAAAAGCAGGGTTGAATGTATCCAACAATAGGGGTAAGATTCAGAATGAGATAAAACGGCTTGTGTTGTCCTCTCGTACAAAGGAGTTACAAAAGTGAGGGTTTTTTCCTTCTGTACAAGATGATAGATTTATGAATTGCTCCTGTTGCAGATTATCTCAAGTTTTACTGAACCTTTCTAGATTTTGTGTTTGATTATGAAGCAATTATCTATAAGAACATCTTGATTTAAGAAGTTAGCCTCTCTGTTAGCATGAGATGCTGTTAGCTCAGAAATTAGATGCTATGTTGCTTGAAGTCCCTGTTCTCTGTGACATGCTAACCTTAGTCCTTACTCTCTAGAGCATAACCAAAGCACCTAGGGTCTATGGTACATAGGGTGAGTTACGTGACAACCTGGCAAGATAGAAATCTTGCCAGCCAACTTGGCAACAAAACTTACTTTTAAGGTGACCTGAAGTAAACTGCCTTCATTATAATACTAAAAAGCACACCCACAGATTGAGAAGACCCTCGCCCAAGTGAAGACCATGCCCTCGCACAAGCATAGTAGCAGAAGAGAATGACACTGCAGATGTTATAACTGTATGTAAATCACTAACCAATTGCTGTAACTGGGAGTGCACTACCCTGTGATTTTTGTGTATGAATGTAAGGATGAATCAGCATCGGGTGTGCTCGATTTGTGGACATTCCACCCAGCACCAGCGCTGCAGTAAGGAAGTGCCTTGCTTCTTACTGCTACATTGGTGTTAAGGAGTTTTATGCTCCCAACTTCCAGTGACACTCCAAGTGGTACACCTTACCCCACTGCACTCTTCATTTTGGCCATTTGTTGTTAGTTTTCACACTGTGCTCTGTACAACTGTAACAAATTTCTCCATCTCGACCCCCTCTCGAAGTTCCTCTACAGAAAAAAGAACCAAAAAGGTGCTCTTATGGAGTGAATAATTTGGCACATTTTAAATGTATTTGTGAGTCTGAGATGGTCTGAGTCTTTGAAGGGCTTTTGATGTGTATCAGATTTAAAACCTTATAGTTTATTAAATATGAGCTATAGCTTGTTCCTAATGGCAGACATATTTGGCTTTATCCTACAGTGTACTGCATAATCCCGGTCAAAGAATGTATCTTTCATAACCTGGCATTGAACAAGTGTATCTGTGGCATTAAAAAAAACCCTAAACATCCTCCTCTAAGCTGTCCTGGAAATCTTTAACTTGCAAGTGTGTTCTTGTGTTCAACCTCCCATGGCAGGGGATTGGAACTAGATGATATTAAGGTCCTTTCCAACCCAAACCATTCCATGATTCTATGACATCTAGGCTCAGAAGCAATCTCATCAATGTACATAAATACCTGAAGGAAGGGTGCAAAAGGGTCAGAGCTGGGGTTTTCTCAGTGGTGCCTGGTGGCAAGACCAGAGGCAATGGGCACAAACAAACACAGGAAATTCTGTCTGAACATAAGATTCAGCACTGGAACAGGGGCTGTAAAGTCTCTCTCTTTGGAGATTTGAAAACTCAACTGGATATGGTCCTGGGCAACATGTTGTAGGTGACCTACTTCATCAGGGGGGTTGGACCAGACGATCTCTAGAAGTCCCTTTCATCCTTAAGTGTTCTGTTTCCATGGTTCTGCAAACCAGCTCTCCCTAACCTGCCCATGTAAGTGATGTGTCCCAGCAGTGTCATCAGCAAAGTGCCTAATTATTCCCTAAGCTGTAAGACTGATGTAAAATACAGGACTAACTGGAAGTATAAAATGTGCTAGAGAAAGAAGGCACAACTGATGTATTCCATGTTAGAAACAGGTAATGTAGGATGCAACGTAATTCGCAGGATAGATGGCTGTGCTTCAGTTATTGGTGGTGTTCTGTTCAGGATGACTGAAGGTGAGAGACATCATCAATGGACTTTCCAGTTAACGGAGTGAATTTCCAGTGCAGGGTTCATCTCATGCTAAAATAAAGCCCTAGAAAGGTTCAGAAGGCAAGCACAGGGATTATGACTTAACGGCTCTGAGCATGCTAATGGGAGTTTGAAGGCTTGAGACAATATTGAACTGGGATGGTTTGCAGGCTGCTTATGAAATCCTTGCTAGGATCCATTTCTAGCAACAGATCATGTTTTTTGGGGTGTTTTATTGTTGGTTTTTTGTTTTGTTTTGTTTTCTTTCCCAGGAGTATTTATTAAGGAGAATTAATGACATTTAAAGAAAATAATGTATTAGTATTTTCTGTTTTGTCGAGGAATACCATCATTTGCTTTGTTTGTGAACAACAGGTACTCTGCTCTTTTTCATTGTTGCTAAAATATGATGAGGAGACCTTGCCAGCTCACTGCTACCTGGAAACTGATGCAGATTGGTAATCTGCAGGAACTGGGGAGCTTATTGTTGTTATGTTACCATAAGTATAGGAAAATGGGATTAAAAAGTAAAGCACTAAAACTTCTATTTGTCTGCTGAGGCAGGAAGCCAGCCTGGGAAAGGGGAGATTGGTCAGAAATGCTGAAGTGTCCTTGCAGATCCTGACCTGTGTTGCCACAAATAAGACAGGGGAGGATCTAAATCTTACCATCTAGGGTGTGCGTTTTCAAAAGTGAACACACACCGATACTTTTGACACTCATCTTAAGATCAGTAGAAAGTCTCTTTGAAGGTGTTTGATCTCTGCGTTTGACAATGCAGCAAGTACTGGTGAATGCAGTACTTGGACAAGTAGCAATGTGCAGTTAGGTAAGATGAGTAACATTTAAGATTTCTATGGAAAAGGGTATGCCCTCTCCTCTGGAATCTGTCCTCAAAGGTGTTCTAATGCATGGCCTCTGGGGTTTGTAATGGGTACTATTAAGAAAGGAACTCAGATTCTGAAAGGTATTGATTAAAATGCCACTTTTTGAGCTAATGTGAAAAGGGAAGGGGAATAGTATAGATAATCTTGTGTCCCTTTAGATGCTTGGAACCTGCAGTTGTGACTCATTGTATGGATTTCTAGCCAAGGCACAGCCCGTTACGGTGATCCTGTCTGCTGAGTAATTCCAACACATTATGGTATTTAGAGCTCTTACTAACTTTTCTTAAGAATTGAAAAATGCTGTTCATGATTTCCACTGTCTAGTAAAAGGATATCCCCATGAGAACATGCTGCTTCATTTTAAGATGTGGACAAGAACCTGCTTGGCAGTGTCATTATTGGTGCCAAGTGGGAGCTGCCTAAAGGCTGCTTCATTATGCTAAGTTTGTCCTGTGGCCAATTGGTACAGGCAGGTATCAATTGGCAAGTGCCTGCTCTAGTAAACTGTTATGTAGATCACTCACTCTTTGGCTTCCAATAATCTTCCAGTTAGGACAACCACATGTACCATCTGATTAGGCTTTTGCTTACGCTTCTTGGAACATCTTTAACGTCCTTTTAACTATTATTCAGCTTTCAGAGACGAATCAGACAACAGCAGAGTTCATTCTCTTGGGACTCTCTAGCAACCACTTTTTGAACATCATCCTATTTGCCATTCTCTTCGTTGCCTTCCTCCTGATCATCCTTGGAAACATCACTGTCATCACCATCACACTGGTGGACCAACGCCTCCACATCCCCATGTATTTCTTTCTCAGGAATTTCTCCCTTGTGGAAATCTGCTTCACTTCTACCTTCATGCCAAGGACACTCTACAGCCTCCTCACAGGAGCAAAAACCATTTCCCGCTCCGGATGTTTCCTTCAGTTATCCCTCTTCTTCCTCCTGGGTATCTGCACTTTCTTCCATGTAGCTCTCATGTCCTTTGACCGCTACATGGCCATCTGCCGCCCTTTGCATTATGCTACCTTTATGAGCAATAGGTTTTGCCTCCAGCTGGTGCTGGTCTGCTGGGTACTGAGTTTCTTCTTGGTGTTCTCCCCACTCACAATTATAATCCAGTTGCCATTCTGTGGGTCCGGTGTCATCAACCACTTCTACTGTGATACAGCAGCACTGCTCCAGCTGTCCTGCACAGACACGGGCGTCATTGAGAAAGTAATGCTTGTGACTGGTGTTGTGATATTACCTGGCACCTTATCAGTAACTGCTTTTTCTTATGCCTACATCATCCATACTGTCATACACATCCAGTCTTCAGCAAGCAGGAGAAAAGCATTTTCCACATGCTCTAGTCATCTTATTGTAGTCACTATTCTGTACAGCAGCTCCATCTACAGGCACATCCGACCACGCCAAAGGGGCGGGAGGGATTTTGACAAAGTTGTATCGTTCCTTTACTGTGTGATTACTCAGCTGTGTAACCCTTACATCTACACCCTTCAAAATGAACAAGTCAGACAGGCCTTGAAAGATCTAGTAGCAAGGTGTGTTGTAGGCTCTGACAATATTCTGGAGTCCAGAGCCACAAAGCAGTGAGTGCATGTGAATGACATCCTAGCAGAGCCCCCAGTACCCTGGGGAATGGGGGGGAAAAGGGATAGAGATGCAGGGATGGAATAGGTGGAATTCACCTCACCTAAGTTTATAAAGACTATGATTGGTGCCTGATTCTCTACCCTGACTGCATATATCTCCTTGACTTAATCAGTTGGAAGTAGCCACATTTGATCCATTTATAATGAGATGTGGTAGAATCCAAGCCAGAAAAACAAGACAGCTTCCTTCCTTCATTCATGGCTCCACCATTA